TGCAAAAAAAAAATCTGTTGCTATATTTCTTTGTTCTGCAGGTATTTTTGCCGTCTTCAAAATTCAAGGAAAGAAGTAACTTATAACAAAACCTACACTAAATCCTTTGGGAAAGGTTAGGAAACCCTACTTCAGGGACACATTTGTATTCTCTCTGCCTCTTTCTGCTGTGTATTTTCTGCTTGCCCATTGAAGCTGTGGCTGCCTCAGCCCTGGAAGTCTCCAAGGCAATATTGGACGGGGCGTGGAGCAACCTGGGATAGTGGAAGGTGTTCCAGCCCATGGCAGGGGGTGGGACAAGTTGAACTTTAAGGTCCCTTCCAACCCAAAACACTCTGTGTGTTCCTGATTCTGTATCCAATGAGGTTCTTGGTTCTTTCTTCCCCAGGTGGCCCCACTCCCATTCCCGTGTGAGCAGACGCTGCTGGTGGACTCTCAGCACTCCGTGGGGCAGCTGAATAGAGCAACAAACGTGGAGGAAAAAAGTGCAGCCTGCAGCTGGACCCTTTATGGCAATACTTATGGACTCTCCTTGCCTGCCAGACTTCCTTCCCGCTGGAAGCTGCCTGGCAAGCCCGGGGCGAGAGCACCCTCTGGGGACCGGCAGAAAAGCAACAGTCAGATTCCATTTCTCAAATCACTTCTTTTCACACGGACTTTGCACTTTAATAAGTGTTTCATGATGGTGGTGGGTGCCTGCGTGCTTGCCCAGAAAGAGGAGCCTGCTGGAGAGGGTTGGAAGCCACAGAATGTTTCTGTTACTACGGGACAAGCTGAGCCTCCCTGGAGGGAGCAGGAGAGACCTGAGGACACGCATGGCCCTGGAGCTTGTAGGAAAAATGAGGTATCACTTCAGTGACTCATAGAATGGTTTGGGTTGGAAGGGACCTTAAACATCCTCTTGTTCCACCCCCTGCCACAGGCAGTGTCACCTCCCACTAGTCCAAGTTGCTCCAAGGCGCGTCCAACCTGGTCTTGGACATTTCAGGGATGGGACAGCCACAGCTTGTCTGTGCCAGGGACTCCCCATCCTCATAGGGAAGAATTTCTTGCCAATATCCCATCCAACCCTGCCCTCCATCAGTTTGAAGTCATTGCTCCTTGTCCTGTCTCTCCAGCCCTTGTTCCAAGTCTCTCTCCAGCTCTGGATCCCCTTTAGGCCCTGCAAGGGGCTCTCAGGTCTCCCTGGAGCCTTCTCTTCTCCAGGTGAACCCCCCCAGCTCTCCCAGCCTGGCTCCAGAGCAGAGGGGCTCCAGCCCTTGGAACATCTCTGTGGCCTCCTCTGGACTCACTCCAGCAGCTCCACATCCTTCTGAGACCCCCAGAGCTGGAGGCAGCTCTGCAGGGGAGGTCTCACAAGGGCAGAGTGTGACAGTCACCCCCACTTCACCAAAGTCACACTGGTTAAAGGTAACGCAGGGACATTTGTACAAAAGAGGTTTTTTTGCATCTCATTAAGGAGAGTTGCCACAAGGACAGAATATCCAATGGAATCATCCTTCCTGCTGTGGATGGGGAATGTGGTGCTGGGAGCTGCTGCCTGGGGTGCACAGTGGGTGCCCAACCACTGGTCCTGGCATGAGGGGGCATTAGCAGAGGGTCCCTTTAATCACACGTCTCCACATCTATCTCAAGGCAAGAGAGTTACCCAAAAAAAAAAGAACCACAACCCCCAAAAGATTCCTAAATGCAACAAGAAATTCCCAAGTT